ATTCAAAGTTATTTGCAATTTTTAATATGTATTTCTCTTTGCAGCACTTACCAGTCAGATTGCACCTAAACAAGTAACTTCAAAGGCTGAAATAAAATCATTTATGGAAATTCAAAACAAACCTATTTGATCACATCATACTTCACAGCAGGGACACAATTTGCAGAGGCTGAGTGAGGGCATAGTGTAAGCTAMAACAGGTTGTGTGTGCAATGAACCAAACTAAATGGTTTATATAAAAGAAATGTTGTTTCCATTAATTTTTCTGGTAATCTTATTAAAAACACCACCTGTCCAGAATAGAATTGTCCAGGTTTTAATTCTTTTTCATATCTCAGTGTTCAAACACTAGACAGAGAAGGTATCATCTTAGAGCTATTAAAATATGTCATAAAATGTATTATTCTGAATTTTTCATAACTACAGCAGTTTCTCCAGCTCTGTTTCAATGTCCTGTTATTGCATCTTTTACTTTTTCTCTCATTGTGCTCAAAGAACTGATTGCTCGGGTAAGCTTAAAGAATGCTTTTTATCAAAGCATGCATTGCATTTTCACCCTTGTTTAAATAAAATATTCCCAGTCTACAAGACTTAAAATTCCCATATATTAAGCAAACAAAACATAAAATGCACCTTTCAAAATTCCACCACCACCCCACCAAAATCCCCTGTAAGAGCCCTGAACAGGAACTTGACTTTGAATACCAGCAGAGATGAAATGGTGTCATAATCAGCATAAGTGCATTGGACTATTCACCTAGATCAAACACTTTGGTCATATACTCAATTAAATTTAAATCCCATTATATAATGTATACCAGCCTCATTTTATGCAATTCCCTAATTTAATGGCTTGGTATTAGCCTTTTTCCTTTTTTGCACACATGGACTAATTTTCACGGTGCTCAGTCCCTCTGGGAAGTAGGTCATTAAAGTCAACTGGACAGAGACAGAAACTTAATACCTAAACAGTGTTGCAGAAGGGTCAGAGTCACAATAATAATGTAAAACAGTTTTTCACTCATCCTACTTTGCAATATTTATGGAATTTTTCCCTCATATAAATATCATTCATTAATCTTGGAGATGGCAAAGTAGAAGAATAATGAAAGCTATCATCCTGTTAAAATTTAATTTGTGAAACTGAAAAAAAAWTAACAAAACAAAAATCCCAATTAAAACATTGAAAAACACAATTATAATAATATTTAGCTACAGAGACAACACTTGTTTTACAGTGAAGCAGTAGAATCATAATATTCATATTACCTTTCTCAATGTGTATTCTTTTTGTCTCATGTCCCACATCATGACCAGCCAGATCACCCTCCTTAGGTCCAGGCAGGACATTTGGTGACAAACCCATCAGCATTTGGTTCATAGATAGCCCGTTCTGATGGACAGCTGCTAGACACAAGTGTAAGCACAAAGAAATCGGCCATCATATTAACAATACATTTTTTTTTTTACTTATTTAACATCATCTTTGTCTTAATTATACAAGAACTCTAACAATCACAAAGGTACTTAATTAGTGCTATCAGGATCCACTAAGAGAGAAATTTTCTTCCTGTTACTTCTAGTTTAAAGCAACTCATTTCTCAAAGAAAGTTCAGTAACTTTGGATAAAGTTGGAACTTTGATCTTGCTAGTTTAACAAGAATTGAAATGCCAAACGAAGCAAACCAGAAAAGCATAAAAAGGTTCTACAGAACGTATTTACTGATCTGGTTTTTTTTAGTTAGTTTTACAAAAACTCTAGTTTTTGTAAAACTACTAGCATTCCCAATACATAGTCTCTGAAACTTCCTTCATTGAAACATTATTGCCTCTCAGTTGATATACATTGTTTTGCCATATATATTGTGCAATACTGTAGGATTGCTTGTTTGTTTGTCAGACAGGTTGAAAAGCTCTGTCCAACAGCTCTCACAGACCTTCACGAATCTCAAACACATCTCAGTAATTTATATTTTTATGCTTTACCCTAAAAAATTGTATTTCCAAGAGGTTTATGCCATTTTCAGTAAACTGTTTTTGTTTGTTGCTTTGTTTTTTTGTTTGTTTTTTTTTTTTTAATGGAACCCATGTTCCTGTAGTAATCATCTTATTCTGGCTGGCACCATGAAAGATGTACTTTAGAATCAGGCGTGATGTTAATAAATCAGATAGGACAGAAAATAATTTTAAATAAATAAATAAGTTAATGAAGTGATCCACTACTTAAGGAACGCTGTTATGTTCACATGGAAGAAAAATATGTGCAAAGGTCCCACTCCTCTCTGTAAATTATAGAGTAAGCTGAACAGTACAACCTCTTTTTTAAAAACAAGTGTCATTCCTCAGGAAAAACAAGTGTCTTTCAATTTAGATTTTTGGGGTTTGCGGTTTGTTTGGGTTTTTAAGAAAACATTGGAAAAGGTTTTCATTGGTCATAAACAAAYATACTACTCAATAAATTAAGAAAAAAATTAAAATCCACATTTGTAGGGTTTTTCCAGAATTTATGAAGTCTGCAGTTGAACTGGCTGCAGATCTGATCTTGGTTGATCCTGGCTGGACACCAGGTACTCACCAAAGCTGCTCCATCACTCCCTCTCCTCACCCAGACAATGGAAAGAAAATATAATGAAAGGCTTTTGGTTCGAGCTTGAGGAAATAGATAGGTCACAGTATATGGGATGCCAATTTAATCTGGACTCTGAATTGTCCAGGTGATAAGAAAACAGAATTTTCAGCTTGTCATAGTCAGGCCTCATTTCTTTTCTTTGKTAAGTCATTTTTCATCACACACTAATGAAAGATCTCTCATCTGAAGGTCAATGAAGAGTCAGCTTCCTGAGTCTGTGAAGAGCCTGAAAAGAAGCAGCCTAAAGGACACGTGTTGCATCGAATCAGTACGGCACTTATTTCGTACAGCTATTTCATGGCTGCCTATGTGCGTGCCAAATCCTCCAGTTTCACCACAGACAAATTCCACTATGGAAAGAGGATTTTAAAAGCACAAAAGCCTGCAACAGAGCAGTATTAAAGGGAATGGACAAGTGTAATAACAATTTAAGTACATAACCAATAAGAGTATGCATTTTAAACCTTAATTTCCATTGCTGAACTGGAATATCACAGAATTCATAGTCTTTGCATGTAATTTACATCCTGTATATGGGACCTTGATAAAAATGATATCACTCTGGGACACCACAGTTTAATTTCACTCTGCCCCCTGTGAGCTATGAGGTGATAATATTCTTTCTATCATATTTCTCACCATTACAAGATTTTATATTTAAAAAATTTATAAAGTATGCACATTTTTAATTGATTTTACCCAATTCTTCTCCTAACCAAGCAATCCTACCACGTAAAATATTGCTTATGAAGTCAGATTCAATTTAGAAATCAAAACAGAGTAACCAGATTAAATAAAATTCAATTTCTTTTAAAAATGTTTACACTATATATTCAGTTCTAAAACTAATCTAGCAAATTGCTTCCCGCCTGCAATTCTGCATTTCATTGCTCATATCTTTATGTTTAATATGACATGATGGCAGTTTATATCAGTACCTGTTAATGTAGCATCAGATATTATGATACTGTAAACTGGGGAACATTACGTTAGGAGATAGTTATTGCAGCTGAACTTCTGAACATGATACATATGAGATCTATTTGTGAGTAGGGCATTTTGATTAGAAAAACAAGCTGCACCTAATCAAATTTAAAGTGGTGAGAAGGAGAAGAATGGTGAGAAGGAGAAGAATGGGACCTACGGATTCTGTCTGAAGAGCTCTCGGTCCGCGCGGGAGAGCTGGACACGCTGCTGCTCCGATGAGAGGAGGGATGGCTGCCAGGTCTTCGGCCCTCTTCAAGAGAAGGAGCAGGAGAAGGGCTGTCTGGAACACGTTCCTAGACCACACAAAAAAGTAATTGTGAAGGAATGGCAGTGTTAAAGCAAGCCTGTGTTTCCAAACATCATTTCCCTAGACAGAAACTCCCTCCTAAATTACAACCTATTCACTCACCTGTTGAGGTTTCCAGCATTTGCAGAGCATTCTCAAAGGAAACTTGTCAAATTTAGGACACTAGACCTTACATTTCAGTATGCAATGTGAGCACTGCACATCCTCTTAAGCTTTTAAATGCCTTCTGGACTATAAAAAATAAGTGGTTTRTTCTGCTTTTGTTTCTTGTTTTTATTTTCGTTATTCATATCATCATACTGTTAACTTGGAAATATACATTTTGGCTTACAGATGTTAGCATTATGGGATGAGGAATTATGTACTTCTGTAAATAAATAAAGACCAGGCACTGTTGTTTTATCTCATGTTGACTTTTACTACACATTTTAATTTCAAAGAAGCTTCTTGAGCAATGAGATCTTAYGGAACTGTTATGTATCATAAAGAAAATATAACCTCCTTGTAGGACCTATACAGTAACAYGACTGATATAGAGCCAAATGTCTGTGTTCCATGGAACACAAGCTTGGAATGAATCACACTTATTGTATGAATGTGGCCATATCCCTTCAAAATGGGTAAAATCACCAAAATGGGGAAGGCCACCATTCATGATTTTCTGTCCAGGGAAAGGCCTAGCAGGGTAGCCAAGAGGAGCTATGGTGCACTTCAAGATATTAATTGGTTTTGAAAACTAGAGTGTAAGGACGGGTTGAATTGATGATGGTGCACATCTCCTATGTGAGAATTGTTAGCATGTAGCAGTAAGGTAATCTGGTATTTACCCAGAAGTTCAACAGAAACAATAATCAAAGGGAGTTGAGTGCAGAAAATCTCTTTCTACAAAATTTGTTGGTTTTCCCTGTAGTTTCCTTTTTATTGCTAAAAGTTCTCAGGATTCATTGCTAAAAGAGGTGAGTCAGGCTGTTTTGGACAAATACTGATAAAAATAAACAAATGCTATAAGGGAAACCTATTGGAAGGATTGAAAATGTTAAACCAGTATTTTCTTGGTTGTTTTTCTCCTTTTGATAATTGAAAATCTGACTTATATAATGAAAAAAAAMCAACAACCACTAATCAACAAACAACTGCACACATCCAACTCACAAAAGCTTTTGGTAATAAAATAATACAATTAGTATGAGTTTAATAATGCAAAAGAAAACTTGCTGTAGCACATGTATAATGTTTTTCTGAAAAGAACAGTACATTCCTCACACTGAAGTTCTATTGGAGCAGTCATTATTTTATTATGTCTCTAGATAAATATTTATTTCCCTGAATGCATTACCAAGAAATTTTGCAACATGCTCATCTATAGTAATCAATAGATTTGTTCCACATAAGTTTCATAAAAAAATAACTGCTGAACTTGAGATTCTGATTGCAAAGGGATTCAATGGGCATATTGATGGAGCGGGAGGAGATTTTTTTAGAGCAATGTTTCAAGACATTTAAGTGGATTCCACTCTAATAGTCTTAGGTTTTTAAGTCAAAAACATTGATGAGGATAGCTTAACTGCATCATAGCTCTAGGCTTATTATGATTTTGATTGTGTTTATATGTCCATGAACTGGGTATTCAAGAGGAGGATTATAATGCAGATGTTTTCAGAATGTAGAAGATTTATTTCTTTAGATTTAGGAGGATTTAAGCATGCACAGTGTACAGATTTGATATAAATTGGAACACGGTATATTTAATCATTCATTTAATATATAATTTCACTGTTTGGCATACAATGTATTGTTCTTAGAAGGGTTTCATTAAAATGAAATCCAGTGAGCACATAAGATTTTAATACAGAGCTGCAGAGTAAATTAATTTATTTAAACAGCTTAATTTGTTTATCCTATTTATTTATGTGTGCTTTTACAGCACGTATTATGAGATGGAGCGAGCAAAAGGAATGCACAGGACAACGAAATATAATTACTGTACAAACAAAACAGATAATGAGTTTTACTCTCGTATAATATGACATAGACAAAATCCATGAGAAAACTATATATCTTGGCTTTATCAATTCATTTTTAAAATACCCTTTAATTCCAATAAAACATGGGATTGAACTATACAGAAATGCAAAATAAATCAATTTAGTACTTTAACTGTTTTATTATATCTTTCATTATAATTCCACAATCAGCAATACAGTGTATAGCAATTTTTTGTCTTTAACAAATCCAGTGCAATAACAAATGGAAATGCTACTAATAAAAAAYTGAAATACTCTGTAGCTCTAAAAAAGTCATAGCGATAAACTAATGGTGCTGGAATATCAATATGTCTTCCTTACCAGAAATTTTGTGTAGAAAAGATTAATTTCGYTTGTGGCAAAATATTAACTTCACTTTAAACTTCACTTCAAAATTTTTTAAATAAGGAAATGCTCAAAAATGTGATAAATAATGTGATCTGAGCTATTTTGTCATTTCTGCAGGATGCCACTTTTGTACAAGTTACTTTGCTGTGAAACAGCAAAGAAATAGCATTTACTGCCTCCTAATTCAGGCTAAAGAAATCACTTAGKATTCTGTCCACTGCCTGGTATTTTTCTTAAAACTTGCTATTCCCAGGAGTAGATCTTTCCAGAGAATCTGGTGTATAACCTCTTTTGCTATTTTGTTTCCTACATTTTTTGCTTCCCTATTTCTTTCTACAGATACTCACWGATAAAAAGTAGTGTGAACAATTTAGGTAACATGCAGCAATTCAGCACATGGTCAACCAGCATTTCAGAATTATTAAGAATCTCAATTAGGTATCAGAGGCTGTACAAAGCAATGGTCAACAAACTCTTAGAGGCCTAACTTGAAGCATTCCTTATCTTGGTGTGCTTTACAATTTGATCCAAATAATGAATCCTAAGCATTTAAGAATCTGACATTTACCTCCTCTAAAAATGTTCCTGCCACAAAGAAATTTTCACTCCAGGGAACTGTAATGCCGTTTCTCGTACTCTTACTCTACTGACATTACAAGTTACACACCCTCAATATCAAGTCCATTTCATAAATAACAGCCTTGCTCCTGTGACACTGGGTATTTTATTTTATGCTGTAAAGAACAGGTAAAGGATTTTAACTGTCAGAGATTTTAACACATGAGACTGAAGTTATCTCTAGAATTGAAATCACTCCCATTTTGTTCCAGAATACCACATATCATTCACAAAATTGCACTGTCTTGGTCTTCCCAAGTAAAACAGAAGAGTCTATATGTATTTATCAACTTTTTTCTACATTTCTCAAATAGGCAAATACTGTAAAATCTCATTCTGAAAGTTATTTTTAAGTAACATTTTAAATATAATTATCTTAATACATCAGTAATGGTATCCAGACCAGAACTGCTTTCTTCCCTACATCATATGCTTTTGTCCTCTTAYCAGGTCATGAAATTAGTTATTCAATATTAATTTTTTTTTTTTGCCTATTTCATTTCTTCTCTGGCAGCATTTTTTTACTATTCAGAATTGCTTCATTACCAAAAGCCATCCTCAAAATATGCCAAAAACACAAAGTTGATGGAGTTTAGCTGTTGTGTTGCTACTGAAGTTAAGACATTTCAGGTGATTTATSAAGGAATAATCCTTCTGCTCCTAAGAGGACAGGGAAGTAAGTGGTATCTTCTAGATTATCACTGATTCAGTTTTCCCACAAATATTCTTTACTCTTTGCCATCCTTSTTCCTAGTAACAAAATTCTTGACCCTTTCTCACAAAGTTTGAATATGTGTKCTTCCAATAACCAAACTGGTTTGCATGCACAGTCCTCATCTCCTGCCTATTTCTCTCCTACAGGTATTTAGACTCAGCTTTTTACTTTATTCTTGTTTACTTCACTGTTAGACTGATCTCTTGGGTTTAGTCATCCTGTAATTTTAGTCATGGAATGAGTTCTAGACATGCAATTAAGTTTTGCTCTAGAGGTATGTATTTTTTTTGATTATTCAGTTGTCTTGAAGCTCTTCAGTATTAAACAAACTCCTTTAAGGATATCTGTGCTTTAAGTCATTGAAGTACAGAGAATAAAGTATTTTTTTTTTTTCAAAGTAAAACTTTTCATAGTTCAGGTTACTTACGGAATGGTTTGGGTTGGAAGAGATGTTAAAGGCCATCTAGTTCCAACCCACCTGCCACAGGCAGGGGCACTGTCCACTGGAGCTCAGAGCCCCATCCAACCTGGCCTTGAACATTGTCAGGTTTGGGGCATCCACAGTGGCCCCAGACAACCTAACTCCATGCTAGGGAGGGGATGCATAACACAAATTGCTTCATACAGTACTACTACTACCACTACCACCTCTACGAGTACTACTACTACTACTACTATTACTACTAGTAATAGTAATATGCTGCAGCAGTAGCAGCAGCAGTAGCAGCAGCAGCATCTTTTAATCAGGAGTATGAGACACTAGACAGGTTAATGCCTCAAACAATTGTTCACTTGACCACTCAGGTRCAGAGGGCTCACACCCAACCACTGGAGGCTACAGCTGGGTATTGAACAAGATAAGGGAAGAGGTTGCTAAGAGGAAGATCTTGAAGGTGGGCTAGTGCTTTTTATAATGTCAATGYCCCTTTCATAGTGGCTCAGGCACAAAAACTCCCCTCTGGGAAAGTACTGGGACATTCACATGTAGTCTGAAGGTATTCACCCTTTCTGACAGGCCATAATTGACTCAACTGTGCTGACATGAGAGGSAGCTGTGGCATCTTGGGACATGTCATGAACCATCAAAGACTCTTGAAGTGTTCCATGATCCACAGCCTTCAGTGTGAAATTTCCTGCCTCAGGAAAGGAACTTGGGCATTCACACCTGATCCTGAGCAGATATAACCTGTGGAACTCTGGTATCTTGTGGGCTTTCCTATTCCTGATAGCTCAAGACAGCCACCATCACTTCAGCCAACTGATACAGAAATTGCAACAATC